TATTTAATCTTCTAAATTAAAATTTTTCATTTCGAATTCATTGCATGTGCTTAATTTGTGAATTGCTTTATGTGAGAATTACAATCTATGACATTTCCTTGAGAGAATCGCAAATAGCGAGAGTCACAAGTGAGTCACAAGAGAAATATGATACGATCAATAGTATAGTTACTGTTTTTTGTCCTGATGCTAAATTACTAGTGTTTCAAACGACTGACATCAACAATCGCAAAGACGTATCCATAACAAGTCACTAGTTTTACTGATTGAAGGAAATTTTCATTGAAATCTCCGATTCAGAAAAATTCTAATACATTAAATTTCTAATTTCTTTGAAAAAATATATCATTTACTATTTTAAAACATGTAACAACAAATAATTTAACATTATTTATAAATAAATAAAAGGCATTTAAATATTTTAATTTTTCCTAACAACATATTTTTAATTTACATATTTTATTATTGTATTATATATATTATTATTATATTTTATCTCATGTTATTTAGATAGTTATTTTTAAATATATTGCAAAATATACTGTGTATCAGTTTATAAAATCAGTTTATAAAAATTATACCAATTATGTGTCTCTAAATAATATTATCAAATATATCAAAATTAAAAAGTTTTCATTTATGAAAGTAAATAATTATTTTAGCAATTTATAAATAAAATATTCTGAATTATACATAATTATACATAATTATTGAAAACTTCATTATATGAAAATGTATTTATCATATTTCATGTAACACGAATAAACACAATATTCTAATCACAATAATAATCGAATTAACAAAGCAAATTACGTTCGATCTTGAATGTAAATCGATTGAATCATCGAAAGCGAGTATAGTATCGATAACGATCGATGAAATGTGGATTGGTGTCCTGGCCACGATGTAAGAGGCGTTGAGGAAATGGAGGAATGGAGATTAGAGTGGACTGGATGGCTTAGATTTTCCTTGATCCTCGGCTACCTTGAAACTAGTAGACTGGTTCACCATTCAACATTATCACGAAGGTCAGTCCCATAAATTTTTATCATTCGTTTGTTAACTATACATAATATAATTATATATAAATATAATTATGTAAACACGTAAATGTTTGCGAAAATATAATTGAATCATAAGAAAATAGATCTATACAGATCGAATTAAAAAAAGATCTTTTCTTCATCTTTCTAATAAAATAGAAAAATTAATTGACAACAATAATTTCGTAAATCCAAAGATTAAAGAAATTCTAAAAAATTTTTTAATAAAATGTGATGAATTGTAAAATAGAGGTTGTTAAAGATGAAATTTTTTCAGCTCGATTTGTTACAGTATTCAATAGAAGAATACAAAAATTTAAAATCTTGCAGCATATAAGAAAGGAAATCTATTTTTAATAAAAAAGTTTTTAAAAACATATTAAATATTATTATACGCATAAAAAACAATTATGTAATATTATGTAATATAAACTAATTCATATAAATCAATAAAAAACTAGTGACATCTATTTTGTGCAATAAAAATATAAATTCGGATTTATCTCTTTCTTATATCAAATAAAAAAAATTTTTTATTAATAAAATATTAGTATAAATAAATTTTATTAATAAAATTTATTAACAAAATAAAAAAATTAATAAATTATGTATTATTATTTATTAACCATTTCTGGATATTTTGATGCAAATTGAAAGTAAGTCGAACTTTGAAAAATTCATCAAAAATTGAAACGAAAACATCAATTCCAATTTTATAAGCAGATGTTTTCAATTTTTCTATTGTTATTACAAATGTTCTGTAGTTGCAAAATATTGGAGATAAATACAAAGCTATATTTAGATAGGTTCTCGATTTGTAAATAATTGTAAATAATAATGCATTTTAATATAATATATAAATTTATATATTTATATATTTATATAATATATATAGATAATTTTATATGTGATATAAGAAAATATATTTTATATGAGATATTAAAGAAGTTGATGATCTTTATATTTTCATAATTTTATAATTTCTTAATTCTATTATTGATAAAATAACATATTATCAAATTCATAATTAGATGAAATAAATAGTTAAAATCATTTATATAAATCAACTATGAAGTTAATTAAGTGATATGTAATTTCGATATGTAAAATAACACCGAAAAAATATATTTAAATAAATGATATTAGATCGAAGTAAGTTACATAAATTATTCTCAAAAATGCACCTGTTGTATATAATGAAAATCATGATAATTACATTACAAACATATCATTATATTGCTTGTATAAATATTTAACATTGCAATAATTCGTTAATTACAATTATATCATCATGAAATGAAATGACAGAAAAATGATTTATGTCGATTAATTGCCACTCCTTTCATATTGAAACACTTGTATATTATATAAATCTTCAACGTATTTATGTATGATCAATATAAGATTTGAAGATTAAATAAAATATTTAATGGAAATCTTTTTATTATATATTATATATTTTACAAACTTTAAATACAACCTAACAATACAACTTCTTTAAATTTTTTATTGAAAAATGATTTTAAATAAATATTATGAGCATTAAAAAATTTATTAAATTTAATATTATTCCATACTAATTTTTATGAAAATTATGAAAAAACAATAAATTGTGAATTCTTTCTTCTATAAATACATTTGTAATTTTATGACATAAATATGAAAATAAATAATTTTATAATTAAAAAATTAGCTTATTAGATTAATATTACAATTAAGAAAAGAATTCAATGAAATACAATTATATAATAAAACTAATAAATATATAACTAGAATATAATAAAATAAAATAAAGCATAAATAAAATCATAAATAGAATAATACATATGTATAAATGCTAACATACAATCATTTTACATTCCTTTTTAGAAACATCTATTTTATGTAATATATAAATGTTGTCAAAACTATAAATTAAAACAGGTGAAAGGAAAATAATAATACGATTGAAGAAAATAATTTCATATCATTCTTATATACAAATAATTATTTTCCTACAATTTTCTTCTTCAGTAAATTCCGTATTAGATAGCTTGAATTCATTATCCGCAATATAGCATTACTATCAATCTAAAGATCGCATAAAAAATCGTCGACACGTTATTAGAATAAGCTCTATCATGGGCTCTATCTATACAAGATCGCTATGCTAATACGTTGGCCAGTATGGCAGCAAGAAGAATCGTATTTGCTATTGGGAATGGCATGTGGCAAAGGGCAACATGTTGAACGAAAAGGAAGATTAAGAACGTTACACCTGTATCCAGAAAAGGTATATGCGTAAACATACATATATTAAATACTTCTAATCCGATAAGAAATTGACTGACAAATCGCCATTTTCTATTGGAGAATGCACCCACATATCCACTACGTCACGTGCGATCACTGCACGAACGTTCACAATTGGCAAAAAGAGAGAGTCAGTCTTTAATGTCAGATGTTACTTCGTCATTTCGCAGTATAAAGTTCGATTCCACGAATATTAACATCTGTCTGTTTACAATTAGCAAACAGAATCGCTTATATGAAAAATTATTCATATTGTTTACATATATATACGTATTATATACTACATATATACATTATATGCGTATTTGAGTTTATATCGGATATTTGATAATAACGGTGCAATTGAACAGAAGATAAATAGAAATAATTCTATTCATAAAAATACTTTGAGAAGAAAAAATAAAATTCAAAACTTTATTTACGAAAAAAACGAATTTGAAAATATAGAATATATACAAATTTTGTACAATCTAATCGCGAATTAATTCTTCTTACATTTGATAAAAATTTTTTTTTTTTCGATTTATTTTTACATGTAAAATAACCACTTGTATCATCAGTTACCACATATTTTATATGTATATGTGAAATTTATATGTATATGTGAAATTTTAATGTAAATGTATCCGTGGAATGAAGCTGCCTTCTCTCGTTTGTCATGCATTTCCTTTTAATCGACGCGTTGAATGTTCTCGCACCACAAGAAAGAGGCTTTGGCTAACTTTCCCTTTCAGTTTCAAATAAATGGTTACAGTTAGAATTAATAATTGGTATGAAGTAGATTATTCTTTACAATATCTATAAATGAATATATCAATGTGATTCATTTTGCTTAATCGAAATATAAAATACTTACTTTAAAATATAAGTACTTTATATTTTGAATAAAAATTTAGTGTCATTAAATAATTAATTAACGATTTTCATTTAAATGGGTTTGAGAATCGTTTGATGATTCTCTTCTTAAATTTTTCTAGTTTTTCAAGTAGAATAGTATTTAAGTTAGATACTAATAAACTAATAAATAACAAAGATTTAGATATCATTTCGTAAAATAAGATATTATAATGATAATTGAATGTTTGATATCAGTATTTTCTATTCATGATTAATTCCATTTTGAAACACAAAAAGATATATGCAAAATTTTTTAAATTCAAAATTTTTCAGTACATCAAATAATAAAATATTGAATATATTTTTATCGTGATTTCTTATGCTCAACGAGGACAAAGATAGAATTTCATATTGAGAATTAAAATCTAATACCAAGGTTTGTTTTTAATATCGACTTTCGCTTTCGATCGTAAATGAATTATTACGTAATAAGAAAACAATAGTTCATAAGAATAAGAATGTAATAATATTTGCTCGTATCGATCTTTGTTCATGTTTTGAATCAAATGTAATTTATATAAAATAGTAAATATTAACGTAATTAAAAATTTCATACGAAATTTTAATCATTAAAAACTTATAAACAAGCAATAAATATTAAGAATCTCATGCAACGTTCTTAAGTTGTCGTTAACTTTCGCTTTCGAATAATTTATCACTCGATAAAATGAAGAGAAAGTAAAATTCTTTATAAATCGTTGATAGAAACTCCATTTAAAAATAAAACATATAACATAAATGAAAATAAAAAAAAAATCTTGGGCCTACCTCGTTTTCCAGATGTATTCTTGATCAACAGCCAAATGCTGATGATCTTTTCACTTTTATTTTTCACTATAAGCCACAGATAACTTCAATGGTCACTTCCTGTTTACTTGTATCAAACTACTATTTCAGAAATACACTGTCTACGTCCACGTGGTTGCTTTGGTCTCGATCCTTTCACAAAATATTCGCTCTAATCGTTCAAATAACCTCCAAATGGCAAACAGTTAACGCGTGTAAAAGATGTTTCTGTACGATTACGAATCAAGGTCAGAACACCACACTGATATCGAGCACACGTCACGCGAAACGCCTCCGCATGAAGCATCGATCTCATAAACAGTTCAGTTTCGCAACGATTTCGAAACACCACAAGTGATCCTTCCTACGAAAGAAGATCCATTGGAGAGGATCGAACGAAAGAAGTGGGGAGAGATGAAAGAAGAATGAGAGAGAGAGAGAGAGAGAGAGAAGGAGAGAGAGAAGAATAGCAAGAATAGATTTCGATGGGGGTTGGCCGGCAAATATGTCCTTGATAAGCTTAATCTCCACAGAAAAAGAGATCCTCTTCAATATAAATTTCGTGAAATCGTCCCTGGAATCGTCGTTTTGACGATGTCCAAGGTAACAGGGTCGTTGCCGCGAATCTTTCTGGAATGATGATCCTCGTCAGAGGGAGATCTCGCGATGGCTCGAGCCTATGGTCTCGGGAGAACTGACAGTGGCCTCCGCTCACCGGAGTAAGGTACACCCTACTACTTTACCACTACAACTGCTAGTTACTGGTGCTACCACTACTAGTCAGAATCATGGTACAACTACTACTACTACTACTAATGCTACCACTATCGACTCGAATCACTCTCTCCCTTCTGTTCTCTGTGTCCGTCTCTCCGTCTCTCGGTCGTTCTACGATGCCAATCTGATGGCTTTCTTTTCTCCTCGTCCGACCTCTGTCTCGCGTTCTCCTTTGCACTCTCCTAAATCCCCTGCCAATCCAGCTTCATTTTCTTTGCCACGGCGGTTCTCGTTGCATCAGAATACCGCGAGACTCGGCGAACGTCCTTACCATATGTGAAAGGCGCACCCACATGGACTCCCTGGCCTCGTTGCACTCATGTTTATGATTCTGTTACGGGTCTCCAGTTGCGTGGACCAAAGCGCGCGCGCGCGCGCGCACGCGTGCCGCCTCTCCATCAACTCAGGGATGTCATGTGGATCACGAACATATCAATATTATGTTGCATCTGATGCGACGTTTTCTGATGCCAAAAAATCTGGTAGTGGGCGTCACTATGTCGCGCCACACAGGCAATTTCGAGATCTGTTCTGGCCAATTATGGAGAGAAGTAATATTCACAAAAGAATCTATTCGTGCCAAATCTTATTTTATGGGTAGTTTAACGATTCCGTTCCATTAACATTCTAACATATTATATTTTATGTAATCACTGTTCTTTTTATTTATTATTTAGACGTATTATTTATTATAAGTTTTTTCATGAATTTCATTTTTTTAACAAAATTCACATTCAAATTAACAAGTTTCACTAAATAAAATTTAACATCGAGGCAAGATACAAAATATTAGCACTTATCTAATATCTAATCTTAAAAAATCGCAAATTATTAAGATTTAATATATAATTTTTTATAATTATGATGAATTTTTGTAAATATATTTTTATATTTACTTTTTATAATTATTTTGATTAGATTTTTAACAATGAGGATTTTTTCATTTTTAAGTATTTTTGTAATGAATGTATTTTTTCTTCTTTCATTCATTTTCTTCTTCGATTCATGATACTTTAAAGATTTACTATAATTTTAATTTAAATTTTATTCAATAGACGGATCAAATTTATGTTAAAAAACTTACAGTTTCCTGTATTATGAAAACATGTATAAATATGCATATTGAAATTTAACTTTTAAATATATATCAAAATAATGAAATAAAAAAAACAAAGATATATGAATATAATTAAAAGTCTAAATTTTAAATTTTTAAATTTTTCTAATTTTGCTAAGATTTTATTAAAAAATAAGATACTATTATATCGATTTAATCCGTTTACAAACAGACATAATAAAATAAAAATTTCTATATAATTAAGGAAAGGAAAATTATTTAATTTTTTTAACTAAGAAATGAATATACAACAAATATGAAATAGAAACATCCAATTGGAAGCAAAGAGCAAAAACAAAAGGTATTATAACACTCCTAGTAGTCGAAAGAATATGAGGGTGTGATAGGCAAGCAGTAATCGCGCGGTATCTTGAGCACCTATTATTCCTACGTTTTTCCGAAGTAACCGGTTAAGACGTTTAACGGAGCATTGCACTTTGTCGTTGCCCTCATGGCGAATTGTGTACTAAAGAATAGTGGATTCTGTTCTCTAGCAACCTGTTCGAGAAAAATAATAAGAGATATTATGTTTCCATTATTTCGCAAAAACTAACAAATGACTAAACATTGCATGAAATTCTCATAATTACGGTTATTAAGATGACCTCTGTCGAAAAACAATTTTATAATTATCATCATTAAAGAAATATAGAGTTTTCCCAACGTATCTTTTTAAGATATATAATTATGTAATTTTTAGTGATTAACACGAGTTTGGCTTGCACGAGACAAACATTTGCGGTTCAATAATTTTCATGTAATTCTTATTTTAATTATATAAATATTAGGTTTCAGTTTTCGAGTATATTTATAAGGAAAGATCTTTAAGCCGCAAATTCAAAAAAATTTTGAAAATTTTAAGAACATATATATAATACATATATAGATATGTGTTATACAATTTCTTTGTTTTTTCTATAAAAGAACAAGATTGGTCCATGAAAATTTATGGATCATTTATTTTTCAATTTTATATATATTGTTATAGGAAAGAAAGAAAAAAAATTTACTTTTAATGAGAAAGAAAAGTTACTTTTAATGAGAATTATCGTTTGATAAAAAATTTATTAATTCTTTACATAATTAGAAAAAAATTATAAATAAAATTTACAATTTTTTTAATTTTTTCGCCTTAAAATCTTAATTAATAATTTTAATAAAATAGATATTTGATTATTGAAAATTAATTAGTAATAAAAAATATTTTCTTTGCAATCTATTACAGATGTTAATGATAAATATATATTGATTTTATAATGAACATAAAAATGGTTCACATATATCTTTCAAATTTTATTTATGTTTACATTCATTTATTTATTTCACATTCGAAATTGTGAATGAAAATAACAATAGCAATAACAACAACAACAACGACGATAACGACAACGATAACGATAATGATAACGATAACGGTAACAATAACGATAACGATAATCATATGGATGACGACGGTAACGGTAACGGTAACCTTAACGGTGACAGTAACGGTGACGGTAACGGTAATGATAACGATATGGATAACGATAACGATAATGATAACGATAACCATATAGATAACGATAACAATAACGATAACCATATGGATGATAATGGTAACTGTAACGGTAACGATAACGATATGGATAACGATAACAATAACGATAACCATATGGATAACGGTAATGGTAACGATAACGGTAATGGTAACGATAACGGTAACGGTAAGGATAACGGTAACGTAACTATAACAATAAAAACACTATTTAATTAATACAAAAGAAATAGAATTATAGGATAATAAAAGATATAATTATTCCTCGCAAAAGGATACTTCATTTTCAATGAAAACTAATGTTACTTTGAAATTTTTGACATTGTTTTAAAGTGTATAGTTATTATAGTTTTTACAAGCTATATTTGTCGATGATATGTCGGCAATCTATCATAAGGAAAATTTTTAGAATAAAAGGAGAATGTGTGTCAGAAATATACTATGATTGTAGATTATAAAACGAATGCTGTTTCAAATAAAGAATTTATTAAATATAAATTTCGAAAAAATTTAATCTCTAAAAATAATAATAAATAAAACATATATGATATATAATTATATTAAGAAGATAACGGTAATGGTAACGATAACGGTAACGGTAAGGATAACGGTAACGTAACTATAACAATAAAAACACTATTTAATTAATACAAAAGAAATAGAATTATAGGATAATAAAAGATATAATTATTCCTCGCAAAAGGATACTTCATTTTCAATGAAAACTAATGTTACTTTGAAATTTTTGACATTGTTTTAAAGTGTATAGTTATTATAGTTTTTACAAGCTATATTTGTCGATGATATGTCGGCAATCTATCATAAGGAAAATTTTTAGAATAAAAGGAGAATGTGTGTCAGAAATATACTATGATTGTAGATTATAAAACGAATGCTGTTTCAAATAAAGAATTTATTAAATATAAATTTCGAAAAAATTTAATCTCTAAAATAATAATAAATAAAACATATATGATATATAATTATATTAAGAAGATTTTTATTTATTTGTTTTATATCTGTGCATAATTATTTTATTTAAATTAGAGAATTAGTTAGATGGAAAGAGATGTTGAATAGAGAAGAAATATGAATAAATTTTCAAATATGTTTATAAATTTATAATTGTTATTGATACTTATAATTTATGATTTAAACCTTCGACGATAAATGATAGAAGCAAATGAAGAAATAAGCTTGAAAAATTTTAAAACATCTCCAAAAAATTTATAAAATAATGTCTAGAAAAATACAAGAACAAATTTATTTCATATCCTACATATATCACCGGGCATTTAAATGAAATGAGTTCGAGTTTTGTTAATAACATTAAATCTCATATTAAAAATTTATTGGAAAAAAGAATTACATTCAATGTTGATGAAAATGAATTTAATTTAGAATTGTAAAAATCTAAAATTGCTATTTTTTAATTCTACAAGAAACAAAAAATATTATTCAAATGCTATTATACAATTTATATTTACTACTATACATAATTATACTATATTTTCTATAATATCAAAACTTTTTCAAAACTTCTTTCCGTAATAATTTTTTATTTCAGCAATAAAATGTTTATATAGTGTCATCTGGAAAATTAATCAAAGATATATTTAATAATACAGTTAACAAATTTTGAAATATAAGATCTCGGCTAATTTTGTTATTAGCTTTATGAACAAGTCCATACAAAATAATATGCCAATAATCAATATATTGAAATATTTATAATCATAAAGAAAAAAACAAGAATGATACAGTCGCTTAATGCACATGGTATCCATATATGGAAAAATTTAAAAAAAATTTGTAATAAAATTTTTTAATCTTATAGTATTATATAATTATAATTGATTTATACACAATGCCATTAAATTAGTCTCTTATTCATAATCAAATCTTTCATCACCAAAATATTATAAAAATATTTGTTTATATTTGGTATAAATATAAATATATTAGTCGATTTCATCGATCTTCTGAAATTGTTTGATTTTGTACATTGAATATTGGGTAAGATGATTTTTTA